TGGAGCCCCATTGATTTTAGTCCTGTCATATACAATGAATTGCAGGATCAGGACCTGAATCTTTACTTTTAATAAATGGATAAACTCAAATTACAGGATTGTGTTTCAACACTCTGTTCCTCTCTTGAATCAGGCTGACGGGAATAGTAAGCTATGTGCAGATACATTATTTCATTCTCTGATGTCAGAAGAGTTTGATTTGCTTGGAATAATCACTGTAGAAGTATGTCAAGGAGACAAACCTGTCAGTCTGTTCCCCGTAATACAGAAAGCTCAGTTCTGAAAACGTGCTCGTTTCATGTATTGGCATGGCAGGAAGAAAAACAAATTGTTTTGTCAGCTTTCATATGAGACATTGGTCTAGCAGGAGAATGCCTTGTGCCTCATGTAGATACTATAGGTATGTACAGTAGGAGCTCTTTCTTGTCTTTGCATTTTATAGCCATCACTTATAAAGCTCTCCTTTTGAGAAAAAGAACTTGTTCAGATGCTTTCCCCCTCGCCCCCAGGGTAATCTGCTTTTATTTTCACAGTAGCTTTAGTAAAAAAAAATTTCCTCCTACATAACCTGCTTTTTCATTCACTGCAGTTCACTTCCTCTTCACTCATGATAAATATCAGCCTCCTGTGTCAAATGCAGTTAAGCCTTTTCCAGTATGTAGTGCATTCGGAGTTTTCTCTGTTATATAATGTACACTTTCTCCACTTCTCCTCCAATGAGATTGTTCTTATAAGACTGAGTTAGTGACATAGATGTTTGAGGGTAGGGTGGGGAATCATAATGATTATAAGAATTTATGTGATGGGATAATTATAATCTTATACAGATTTATATTTGTATTCAGATTACACTACATGGCCATAACTTCATATTTATTTAAATGTCTAATTTTTATTACTGTTAACAAACATGCTTTTTTTTGTCTTTCTGAATTCAATATAATCTTTGTATATGAGGATATCAGGTTGTATATTATATAATTAACAGATACCATGCAATGTCTTTGTTTAATAGAATTTCTCTAAGTGTGGTTACAGCTAGAAAAGTGACCCTAAAAACTGTATCACTTTTCTCAGGGTGTCTGCTCTGTGTGTGTCCAAGTAATAACAGTTTTCTTTAATAACAAACCTCTAATGTGCACACTAGCAAGGCTTTCAGCTGTGCTCTTAGCATCAGGCCTCCATCACCCTTCTACCTTTCATTACATGGGAAAACGCTCCATGGATAGACCCCTTCTGGGTTCTAAATGTATTGTGGTTCTTCTGTCCAGGAACCTGGGGTGCAGAGGCCATGTAGGGGGATTAGAACATCTGTGCACGCTGTGGATCTATGTAGCAGCACCCAGGAAGTGGGTCTCATACATCCCTGGCAGTGTGGTTCCATTTCTTGGATTGGGTGAGAAGAGATATGGCACATGCCAGTGCAGGCTAAAGTCTGCAGTAATGGTCATGTTGGTACCTATAAAGGTGGGGAGGAGTCTGTCCTCCACACCTATGGAGATGCTGCGTACAAAACACCAAGTGAATGGCTCTTGTCAGGCGATTGAGAATTTGGTCCTTGTTGAATTATTTTCACTGGCTGGGTATAGGAGACAGAATTTATTTGTGTGTGACCACTCTCCTCTACTCCCGCATGAATTTGCTTTGTTGGTACTTAAAAAATCATCTCCTCACTTGCCAACTGACCAACTCTGATATAGAAGTTGGAAACAAAATAGACATGGAACTTGATGTCTTTTGTTTTTAGTTATTTTTGTGACTAACCAAACTGTTAGTTAATCTGGCTGATATTTCAGAAAAATGAAAATAATATAGTGTTGCCACATTTAATGGAGAAAAGAGTGTAGTAGTTAAAGTAAGAGATAAGCCAAGTTGATGAGTTTAGGGTAATTAAAATACTAATCCTTCAAGGTCTGTGCTGCTTGGTCATTCGTAACCACTGGAAAGCTATTCATGGGTTCTTTAACAAAAGAGATGTTGGATTTAGTTTTACCCTTGCTTTGTATGTTGCTGTTACACATTCCCTTGTACACTCTCTGTCACTTTCTAGGTGCTTATGATATGCCTGAAATATATTTCAGGAAATCTTGGTATGGTAATCTTAACAAAAACAGTCTTTGTGCTGAGACATATCCCAGATTATTGTCCTGATAGAAGTGTTTGGACTCATATTCATGATTAAAAAGCAGTACCTTAATTGATTGATTGACCACGTGGTAGAAGAGATAATGGGATTCACAGGCTGCCTGATTCCCATCACAGAACAAATCTCTGATTTGTTTGTATGTAATAGTTAAACAAGCTTAGGGCTCAGGCTGCCAGTCACCAAATATATTCTTTTCCTTCCCTCCTCCATACCCTTTTTGCCCTGATTATTTTTTCAAAATGAAGCCATTTATTTCTTCAGTCACTACTCTTTCTGATAAAAAAATCTTAGTAAAATAAATGTAAAATATCTATCCTCTGAAGCAGTTTTGTATTTGGTTTGCAGAGGGATACATTGGTGGAAGAATTTTTCACTGAATGATAGCCTTAGCTTTGCTGAGAAATAATTACCATCCGAAGCCAAGATTCCATGTTTATGGTCTGCTGGCCTTGTTTGGCTTTTAGAATTCCATGTCTCCATTTCATCCCTGTCATAGCTGATGTTCTCCTTTTCTTGAAATCTGCTGACCTGATGCAGCAGCAGAGACTTGAATCAGAAGACCCGAGAGAAGATGTGGAAATTTAAAATCCTGGGTCTCTGAACATACCACTTTTCTGACTGCTTTCTGTGAAGCACATCTCCAGTATAAGATAGTGGTGGTGCAAAGTAGCAATTTATCACTAGAAACAGTGTTGAGAAAAATAGCCACTGTTACTGAGAAACTTCTAAGGTAAACAAAGATGGTCCATATAACACATACCCTTCAAGTCTGTTGAATCATGTCCTATTTAGAGTGCAGCACATAAAGTACTTAAAAAAATTGATATAATATCTTAAGAACATAAGAACGACCATACTGGGTCAGACCAATGGTCCAGCTAGTCCAGTCTTCCGACAGTGGCCAATGCCAGGTGCTTCAGAGTGAATGAACAGAACAGGCAATCATTGAGTGATCCATCCCCTGTCGTCCACTCCCAGCTTCGGGCAATCTTGGCTGTAACCAAACACAGCAACATTAGATATGGATCTTCATGTACTAAACTGATAAACCAATCATTATGTCACATTCTTAATTTTTTTTGTTAGAGGTGTTCTTCCTTTTCCCATCCCAAGCTGTGATATCACTATCTCCTGCATTCTGCCTTTTCTTTCCAATCCCACAAACTGTGTGTCTTCAAGGGGTCTGTGGCAAGTGGCATGGATCTGAAATGCATGTTTATGAGCGTTTTACTCTCATTTTCCTCCCACTACCCTTTTATTACCTTTTTTACATATGCCTCTTGTGGCTACAGCTGTCCTTCTGCTCAAAGGAGTGAACTGAGCTCCCTTTAGTGTTTCATTAATGTCAGTCCTGATCATCTGGCCGATGTTGTTGAATGACACAAGGCTGACCTCCTCCCTCAGGTGATCTGTAATGCCCTGTGCATCTGCCATGTTGGTGGATGAATGACAGAGCCTGAAACTGGAAAGAATGTTTTTCCACTGGGGCTTCCTTTAGGAAACTAAGCTGTTCATATGAAAGAATGTTCGTGTTCTAAGGTTTTAAGGCCAGAAGGAACCATTACAATAATTAATCTGATTTTCTACGAAACACAGGCTGTAGAACTTCATACAGTAATTCCTCCATCAAGTCCAATAACTTGTAATTGAACATGTAGAAAGGTACCCACTCTCAATTTAAAGACCCCAAGTGGTGGAGAATCTACTACTTCGCTTGGTAAACTAATTCAGATGGTTAATTATTCTCATTGTTAAACGGTTCAGAAAGTCTCTTCTTTTAGTTGGGATCGGCAATGTGGCCTCCTGGATAGAGCACTGGACTAGTACTCTTGGCACCTTGGTTCTGTTCCTGGTCCTGCTTTGTTGGGTGACCTTGGGCAATTCATGTCACCTCCCTGTGCCTTGATTTCCCCATCTGTATAATGGGGAAAATGATATTGACCTCCTTTGTAAAGTGCTTTGGGCTTCACTGATGAAAAGTGCTATGGATAAGCGATGTGGTATTATTAGTAGCAGTAGTCTGGCTAATTTACTGCAAAGAAAAATAAACCTCCCATGTTGCAAATGTGAGTTAATGGAGAAAGAAATTATCATGCATGTATTGAATATATTGATGATCAAAATCTTTAACTGGAGAGCTCTTTACATTGTGCAGCAATTTTTGACAAATAAATTGTTCTCACTGTTGTTTAGAAAGAAGAAAAACCAGTGGTCTTGCTGCCTGGCATATTTGGTGTAGGCTGTGGTAACTCATTAGAAGATTCTAAAGTATGCAGGATTACATAGATGGGACCCTATCTTGTCAAGTTAAATATGGAGCACTGTGATTCTACTGTTAAACTAATATGTGGACAATCCAAAGACACCCTACTCTAGCTGGACAAACAAATTATCTGACTTGTTTACCTTTATGGCAATTTAAAAACATAGCAATTTTTAAAAAAGTGAAGTGCAGAGAAAATTGCTCCTGGCTTCTTTATTCATTATATGTTTTTTCCAATTTGTGTGAATTCAAAGTTAAACATTATTTATTTATTTTGTAATTTAAATATTCATTAGCTATTCAGATACAGTGCAACTATTTGACCACAGATATATGGTCACTCCAGACTTGTCACTCTGGACACTTCTCTTCATTTCAGTATACCTACTAATAAAAATACAATCGGCACGATCAAGCAGCGGATCTGACAATTAATTTCTCATGATCTTTCATTGATATAGTCAGCATCCCTTGCTATGTCTTAGGGTCTGATTCTGAGAGTTGCTGCTAACAAGTGCATAGATAAGACTAATTATGAAAATTCATCAGTACAAATACGTTATTTTGTTCCATTTTATTTCCATTATGTAGCACCCCATGAGACAAAAGAAAAGAAGTTTCTGACTCACGGAATTTATATGGGCACGATCCTGAGAGTTGCTGAGCTCCCATTGAAATCATGTGTCCGATCCTTCACTCTTTGTAGTTGACAAAAGCAGGATTGGACCCATAGATGGTAAGTTGACAGATATCTGACCTGCATATTTCATACAGTAACACGCACACCTAAATGCTATATAAATAATGTGGAACAAAATAGCTTGTTAATTATTTATATTGCCAGATATTTATAATCAGTGTTATCTATGCACTTATCGGTTTTATGTTTCAAGTTAGAATATCTTTTTACAGTATAGGAGACTGATGATACTAATTACAGTCAGAGCACAATCGAGACAGGTAGTAAACAAGTTCTTCATCTCCGAAAGCTGTTCAGTCTTGACCTACAGCCAAAAAAAAGTTAATGGCTGTTCGTTTAACTGCAGTATGCATCATTGTCAAATGAGAAGTTAATACATTTGGTGTACATAAGAACAACCCATGGGTCAGAACAATGGTTCATCCAGCCCAGTATCCCTTCTTCCTATGGTGGCCAGTGCCAGATATTTCAGAGGGAATGAACAGAACAGGGCAGTTTGTCGAGCGATCCAACTCCTGTGGTCCAGTCCCAGCTTCTGGCAGTCAGAGGCTTAGGGAACCAGAGTATGGTTGCATCCCTGGCCATCTTGGCTAATAGCTATTAATGGATTTATCCCCATGAACTTATCTAAATCTTTTTTGAACCTAGTTATACTTCTGGCCTTTGCAACATCCCCTGGCAACAAGTTCCACAGGTTGACTATGCATTGTGTGAAGAAGTAATTCCTTATGTTTGTTTTAAACCTGCTGCTTATTAATTTCATTGGGAGACCCTTGGGTCATGTGTTTATGTGAAGGGGTAAATAACACTTTCTTAATAACTTTCTCCATACCATCCATGATTTTATAGACCTCTGTCATACGCCCGCCCCCTTAGTTAACTTTTTTCTAAACTGAACAGTCTCAGGCTAGGTCTACATTACCCGCCTGAATCGGCGGGTAGAAATCGACCTCTCGGGGATCGATTTATCGTGTCCCGTCGGGACGCGACAATCGATCCCCGAATTGACGCTCTTACTCCACCAGCGGAGGTGGGAGTAAGCGCCGTCGACAGAAAGCCGCAGAAGTCGATTTTGCCGCCGTCCTCACAGCGGGGTAAATCGGCTGCGATACGTCGAATTCAGCTACGCTATTCACGTAGCTGAATTTGCGTATCTTAAATCGCCTCCCCCCTGTAGTGTAGATGTACCCTTAGTCTTTTTAATCTCTCCTAATTTGGAAGTTGTTTCATGCCCCTAATCAATTTTCATCACCTTCTCTGCATCTTTTCCAATTCTAATATGTCTTTTCTGAGATGGAGCAACTAGAACTGCATGCAGTATTCAAGATGTGGGTGTACCATGGATTTATATAGTGGCATTATGTTTTATTATCAATCCCTTCCCTTAAGATTTCTGACATTCTGTTAGCTTTTTTGACTGCCACTGTAGCAGATGTTTTCAGAGAACTACCCACAGTGACTTCAAGATCTCTTTCTTGAGTAGTAACAGCTAATTTAGACCCCATCATTTTGTATATATAGTTGGGTTTATGTTTTCCAATGTGCATTACTTTCATTTATCAATATTGAATTTAATCTGTCATTTTATTGTCCAGTCACCCAGTTTTGTGAGATCCCTTTGTAATTCTTCACAGTCAGCTTTGGATTTAACGAACTTGTGTAATTTTGTAGTGTCTGCAAATTTGCCGCCTCACTGTTTACCCCTTTTTCCAGATAATTTATGAATATGTTGATCAGCACAGGTCCCCATACAGATCCTTGAGGGACCTCCGCTATTTACCTCTCTCCATTCTGAAAACTGACCATTTATTCCTACCCTTTGTTTCCTGTCTTCTAATCAGTTACTGATCCATGAGAGGACCTTTTCTCTTATTCCATGACTGCCTACTTTGTTGAAACAACAAGGAGTCTGATGGCACCTTAAAGACTAACAGATTTATTTGGGCATAAGCTTTCGTGGGTAAAAACCTCACTTGTTCATATGAAGAAGTGAGGTTTTTACCCACGAAAGCTTATGCTCAAATAAATCGGTTAGTCTTTAAGGTGCCACCAGACTCCTTGTTGTTTTTGTAGATACAGACTAACACGGCTATCCCCTGATACTTTGTTGAAGAGCCTTTGGTGGGGGATCTTGATACAGGTTTACTGAAAGTCCAAGTACACTCTATCCACTGGATCTATAGTCTATATGTTTTTGACCCTCTCAAAGAATTCTTGTACATTGTTGAGGCATGATTTCCCTTTACAAAAGCTGTATTGACTTGATCCCAACATATCGTGTGCATCCATGTGTCTGATAATTCTATTCTATACTGTAGTTTCAATCAGTATGCCTGGTACTGAAGTTAAGCTTACCAGCCTGTAATTGCTGGGAGTCTTTTTTTTAAAATCAGCATTACTTTAGCTGTCCGCCAGTCATCTGGTATAGAGGCTGGATTTAAGTGATAAGGTACATATCATACCACAGTTAGTAATTCTACAATTTCATATTTCAGTTCTTTCAGAACTCTTGGTTGAATACCATCTGGTCCTGGTAACTTATTACTGTTTATTTTATCAATTTGTTCCAAAACCTCCTTTATTGACACCTGTAATTGGGCCTTGTAGGTTATGATTATACACATTAGTCAGATAAACTTAGTGCACTCTTGTCAATGTCTTTGTTTTTAGAAGGTTTCAGTTTGGCATGAGGTTGTGGGGAATCTTCTTCTACATAACTAGCTGAAGAAGAAAAACATGTGGCTGCAGACAGTAGAAGAGTCTTGGTGGATCCTGGGGCCTGACTGGGAGCCCATTGAGGTCAAATCAAAGACTCCCTTTAACTTCATTAGGTTTTGGACTGGGGTAGTCTAATAGATATAATCCTTTCTTTAGTTAAACAGCATCTCTTTTAATAGAGGTTTAAAGGGTTCAACTTAGTTCTGTTACATCAGGAATCAGATTTCCCTAATATAGTGTCAGTTTCCAGCAAAGAATGCATGAAGACCGCAAGCATCAAAGATTTGAAATTCCTCTCTGTTTCACCTTTGGTAATAGTGGTGTCATCCTAGTTACTAGTGGATATTTGTCCACATCTTAAAATCAACACACAATTAATCATGACTGAAAGCCTCAGCTCAAGACTAGAATAGCAGAGATGATGTATAGTGAGGTCAGAATTCATAATGCATGGCGAAGTTTGTGTGGAGAAGCTTGCACACTGCCTAGCTCCATCCAGAGCAATCAGACCATAAAGTCAATCAAGCACTAGATTAATCCAAAATCTTAAATTAACTGATAAAGAAATTATTTACTAATTTAAAAAAAGTTAGGTTTTAAATTTATGGAAACCGATGACCTAGAATTGTGGAAACCCTATTTACTATGTGTACAACAAAATATTTGCTCATTGATATACTTTCATTAGAAACACATCACATTTTGTGACAGTCCTTGGGAGACTATAGTAAAATTATTCCTAGAGCACTCATTAGGACAGTACAAACTATGTAATGCAAAATCATGTAGCAGTTCTCAATTCCTTAAAGGTTAAGTAAAGAGATTAAAATCTATCAATGTGGCTCTTTCTTTCAAGGGATCAGGCATCTGATTCTATTTCACATATTATGAAATGTTTTCAATTCTCAAAATTGTGTGTAAAGGTGCTATTATTGTAATACCCGTTGAATGGCAAGACACTCAGTCTTTTCTAAGCATTCTAATAGTTTGAGGACTTGTCCTAGTTTTCTTTCATTCACCATCTGTCAGCTTTCCTTAAGCCATGCTGTCTAATAATTAAGGGTATGGTTGGCACTGGATAGAATTTATTAACCTTGGCTTTATCTGTAGCTTGGCTAAAGTTAGATTTTTTTTATGTCCTTGATTAGCTTGCTATGTAGAGCTTGTGTTTACAAAAAAACAGGATATAAAATTGCATTGCACTAATACTATGCTGGGTGTTAAGATGAGAATCTAAATTCAGTTATGCTTCACAATTACCTGCAGATGTTTCAGAAACATATCTAAGTTGTTCCTTTAAAAATAAATATGTAGGTTTTTTTTAATGTACTTGCAGCTTTCGTTTTTACATGGTTAAATTCCTGCTGGACACGATATAATCAGGAAACACACACAAAAAGTTAGGTTGATCAAAGGCTTTGAGGCTACATAGATCCAGACCCTCTTTGGAATTAGGTATACTTTTCCACATCATATATTTTATTCCAAATATTTAAAGCTAATAAACAGTGTATAATCTAAACCTTTGTTGTTAGCAGTTAGTCTCACTTCTGTATAAAGAAATTACATTTCTCCTAGTTCCTAAATTCTTCTTTCATACAATATTTTAATGCCACCTTGAAATTAACTAGTATCATTTTCCCTAGTCCATTTATAAGATTGTATATAATGATTAGGGAACTACAGTTGTTTAACACTGTAGTATTTCATGATTAGTTCTACACACTCTGTTGAAGTTCTGAGGAGGATTGGTCCTATGGTTAAGGTACTGGATGGGGGCATGAGAGACCTGGGTTCTGTTCCTTGCTCTGCCACATTGTTCCTGTGTAATCCTGGGAGAGTCACTTAGGGCAAGAGTTGCCAAAGTGATTTTAGGGTGTTTCAATTTTTGGTTTCCCAACTTGTGATACTGTAATGAAAGCCTTATTTTTCAGAGGGATGAATGTTTAGCACTTATTTTAAGGAGCATGCTTTTCAGACTCTTCTGCAGAGCCCCCAAAAATAAAGGTACATAAGGTACACAGATTGCCCGTCTTAAAATAAAGCTGTCCAGAATAACTAGTCACTTTTGAAAATCTTGACTTTGTAATCTTTCTGTACCTCAATTTCCCATCTGTTAAAAGTGGGTAATACTTCCTTTTATAAAATGATAGGACTGGAAGGACCTTGAGAGGTCATCTAGTCCAGTCATCTTTGTCTTGCCTATTTAGATAGTCCCTGCCTTGAAGAAATAATCTGATACAGGAAAAACCTCTCTTAGAGATGCTTAAAATGTTGATCTGACTTTTTGCTGCATGTTGGGTTGTGTCTCAGTGATT